CCTCAACCGGACGTCGTGGAGGATACCTCATCGATATAACATGAGCGTTAGGATGGAATTAGACCATTGTCATGATGGGAGACCGCAACCTCCGAGCGTGTGCATGTGGTGCTGCGTCGATTTCAGATTATGCGCCCCAGCGCGGCAGGATAGTTAGGTATTTCAGACAGGTAGTGAGTAGAATGCCAGTTTGGGTCGACATGGAGTGACCTCTGCGTGGCGGTGTCTTCTCGCATTGTCTTGTGTTTTCAGTCATTGGCTTAGGGGCGTTGGGGCTCTATACGTGGGCCCCAACAATCGTTTGCCGATTGTTGGGGCCCACATATATCAAAAACAAACACACACACACACACAACGGCCTCGTGTTTGGGCCGCGTCCGGCCTCCCTGGAGGCCCCTCGCCGGGGGGCCAGGACCGTGGGCAACAACGATTCGGGTCATGCTTTAGGTTGGGCCTGTCCCTCTATAGGGGGGCTTTCGGCGAAAACTTCGGGATACACGAACAAAAAACGCCCAAATGGTCAAAATGGTAGAACAACTCGTCCCCATATCATTTCTAGACTATTTTTGGATATTCCCCCTGTAGAGGGACACGCCCGACTTCAGGTCAGGTTGCTCTCATCGTACTTCAGGACCACATCCCAGACATAATTTCGAGCACCCGGAAAAGTTTTGAAGGAGTGTCGAAAGAGTTTCTTCAAGGGCCCGACACGTGCGAACCCTCGAGATTCGGTTCTTTTCTGGTACTCGAATTTGTTTCTGGTGATCAAGGCTAAAGTAGGTCGGAACATCGTAAAGCTGGAGGCAGTTTTCGTTATTTCGGCCCTGCTGGCAAGGTCGCTTGCGTGGAGGGGGGCCGGGCGTGGCGAGACCCGACACGGACTCCGGTCTTGACACGAAGGTCGGGGGTCTTACGTACGTCCACTCTCGGCCCAGCGCTGTTTGACAATGCTGCGGAGGGGGAGGGGCCGAAATGCCATGCAAGTAGTAAATTCTTTACGCTTCGCGTATCCCCACCAGCCCATCTCACAGCAGCAACTCTTGCGAAGCATGCCGACAGTCGTGTTTTTCAGGCGTGTGTCCGCTTGGCCCCGCATATCTCCCCTGTTCCTCCTTCCTCCCGCCTCCTTGTACATCCTCCTTGTGGGGGGAGCGGGAGAAGGACGAGGCGGAGGAGGAGGGAGAGAAAGCGCTCCTCGTGGTTTGAGTCGTTTGGGGTTTCTCGTCCTGGTGTGAGTCGTTCGGGCCCTTCTTCCTGGTGTGAGTCGTTCGGGCTCTTCGTGGTGTGAGTCGTTCGGGCTCTTCGTCCTGGTGTGAGTCGTTCGGGCTTCTCGTGGTGTGAGTTGTTCGGGCCCCTCATCCTGGTGTGAGTCGTTCGGGCCCCTCCTCCTGGTGTGACTCGTTCGGGCTCCTCGTGGTGTGAGTCGTTCGGGGCCCGCGTCGTGGTGTGAGTCGTTCGGGCTCCTCGTGGTGTGAGTCGTTCGGGCGCCTCGTCCTGGTGTGAGTCGTTCGGGCCCCTCCTTGTGGTGTGAGTCGTTCGGGCTCTTCGTGGTGTGAGTCGTTCGGGCCCCTCGTCCTGGTGTGAGTCGTTCGGGCTCCTCGTGGGGCCTCTTGGGGGCCTCTTGGAGCCTCTTGGGGCCTCTTGGGGGCCTCTTGGGGGCCTCTTGGGGGCCTCTTGGGGCCTCTTGGGCCTCTTGGGGGCCTCTTGGGGGCCTCTTGGGGGCCTCTTGGGGCCTCTTGGGGGCCTCTTGGGGGCCTCTTGGAGGCCTCTTGGGAGCCTCCTGGGGGCCTCTTGGGGCCATCTTGGGGCCTCTTGCGACCTCCTCAGAAGCGCAAGTGAGCGCGGCCCCCTCAGGAGGCCAAAATGGGGCCAAAACCGTAGTAAAATCAATGATTCTGGCTCCAAAGGAGAGGAGAGGTTTTTTTCTCCCTCCCCCCGTCGGGGCCAGAATCCTCGTGAGGGTCGTCGTTTTTTAGCCCTCCCAGGAGTCGAAATTGACCCCCCTGACGACCCGCGAGGCGCCCTCTCCAGGCCCAGGGGGAGGGGGTAGGGGGAGGGGTGAACCCCTCCCCGAAGGGGAAGAAGAGGGGTTGAGAACAGAGCGGGCTCTCTAAACCACTCACGCCCAAAGGGCTGGTGGGATTTATCCGAAGTTTGTGTCCGCGGGCGACTCGTGTGCACAGCACTAGTGACCGTGCTGGCGTCTCCCGAGCAGTCGTCGATCCGCGACCCAGGAAGGGTATATACTGGGCACGTTTCTCTTCGGCTCCTCAGAGCCGACGGCCTGTGCACCGTTGGAGGGGGGCCTGAGGGGAGTTCAGGCACGGTGCGGTGCATGGGCACCCTTCTCGTGGCCAGACCCCCGGCGGCATGATTTGTTCATGGCCCGACCCCCAGAGGTCCCGACCCCCAGCTCCTCGTCCCGAGTCGGTGTTTGACGCTCCCGAGGCCCCGCACGGGCCCCCAGAGCCCGAAAACAGGGAAGAACCTCCCGTCGTGATTTTTTCAGGACTCTGTGGGGGTCTGCGGGGTCTCGTACCCGGAGATCAGATGTTTCGATTTTTCAGCACGGGGTCCCCGCGTAAATTTTGGCGTGTTCCCGGGCACCTGCGGTCCATCCTGAACGTCCTCGCTTGACGGTCCCGGGGCATAGCGCGGAGGCCGAAGACCGCGAAGCAAATCCCTCTTGAATTTGCCAGTGCGTTGGACCTCTAGGCACAGCCAAAGGGGACAAAAACGGCATCAACACTGGTTTTTGAAGCTCCGCGCGGGTATTTTGGATCCGCGCTGGGCCCTCTCGGCGGCGCCTCCACCGCCGCCCCCGGCGCGCTCCGCGCGCCAGGGAGGGGGGTCCAGCGCAGATCCAAGAAATCCGCGCGGAGCGCCAAGAGTTGATGCTTGTGCCGCTTGTTCTTCTTCTACATCGTGGAAGACGCCAGCTGCTGAAGCTCTGGCTGTGGAGGAGGCGGAACTGGCCGTGGCGAAGACCGTTCGGAGTCGCCATTTGTGGCAGCAGGTCCGTCTTCGTTGGCCATCTCATTTTTGTTGACCGCGCAGCTCTGTAATTCAACCGTGGCAGGTTCAATCGGCCAGCTTTGTTTGTTGGCGAAAGAAAGCGAGAATGTAAGACGCCCTCTTGGCGCCCTCCGAGGAGATCTCTGAGTATAATGTAATCGGACGGGCCAGGGCTAGGGCTAGGACGAGGACAGATCCGTTCCAGAGCGTTCCGGGAACGCTCTCAGAGCGTTCCAGAACGCTCTGAGAAGGCCGCGGCGCCCGATGCATCCCCCAGAGTAGCCTGATATCAGCGATTCTAGATGTATCCTCAACCCAAGGTTGTCCTCGTCTTGGCCTCGTCTTATGTAAGACGCCCCCCCGGCGCCTTCCGGAGAGATGGGCTATCGGAGGACGCGTAAGGGGAAGGGACTATAATTGCTGGGCAGCGAGGGCTGAGGAAAAGGAGCTATTTAGGGCCCCCCCACAGGGGCCCTTTAGGGTCCCAAAGGGGCCTTGAGGGTCCGAAAAAGGCGCCTTTCTCCCCACCCTAATGTTATTGCCTCCCATCAAACGTTGCCCAAGTCAACCTTCCCAAGGGTACCCTTGCATCCTTGCCTTTTCGGTCCATCCTTGACCACTTTCTTTCGATTGCCAGCTCCGCTAGAAAAAGCTTCAAAATGGGCGGCCAAGTCCCCTGCATCCTTCTTCTTGGCATCGCTCTGACGTGTACATGTTTTTGGCGAGGACCATCGAGGAGCACCTTGGATCATCTTGCGAAAAATACACGCGCGAAACCGAAACACGCACGGGGAATAGATGCCCGAGCGATGGCATGTACAGTCGGACCGAGGTATAAGATCGAGGTCGGTTCGGCGAGGTTACCCTGATGTTCTTCCTGCTTGTTGGACGTATACCTGCATCGTGGGGGAGGGTGCCCTCGAATGCTTTTAATTGGGGCCGACGGAGGGTCTCATGTTCTTGAAGGATGTTCTTCTGTCCAAGGTCCGATCGTATTCGACCGAGAAAGAGCTGGATGAACAGATGTTTGGCGTTCCGCACTGATTTTGGGGATCCGCGCTGGGCTCCCCTCGGAGCGCGCCAGGGGCGGCGCCAGAGGCGCCGCCAGGGGGCCCAGCGCGGACCCAAGACATCCGTGCGGAGCGTCAAAAGTTTATGTTTATGCAGCTGTTTCTTCTTCTATGTACCCAGACCTCCGACGTCATATTTTCTCAGCGCGCAACCCCCAGAGGTCTTGACCTATTATTCGCCAGGACTGGTTTTTCATCCCGAGTCGTTTTTGACGGCCCGAGGGCCGGCAAGAGCCCCCAAAGGCCGAAAATCTAGAAACACCTCCCGTCGTGATTTTTGTCACGGCTCGTGGGGGTCTGGGCATCGCGCATCCTTATTGTCAGTTGGTCAGGTTTGCCTCTCAGACGCCCTCGTCGGCGCCCTCCGAGGAGATGGCCCAGCGCGGATCCAAGCAATCTGCGCGGAACGCCAACAGTTTATGTGTGTGCCGTAATTTCTTCTTCTGGGTATCGCGCATGCTTGCTGCCAGTTTTGCTTGTAATCGGAATTGAAGCATATACAGAACCAGTGGCGGGCTGTTTTCCAATCCCAGGACTTTTTGAGGGTCGGCGGCGACGTCGGGGTGGTGTTGTGCATACGTTTTCCCCGTTTCCCGGGAAACCGCGAAACATGTATGCACCAGGATCCCGTATACACCAGGATCCGCCTTCCTGTGCGAATTCCCCTGCGGGGCTGGAAAAAGCGCTGGTGCGGCTCCTCGTGTACAGTCGGCCCAGATTAGTAGGTCGACCCTGCCAAATCCAGGGTGCCCTTGTGTCCTGTGTCTCGCGACCCATGCTTCCCTACACTCCCGTGGCAACGTGGGCCTCGGAAGGGTCTTTTGCCCTCTCGCGTGCCCTGCCCCATGGAGCCTGGCTGCAGACTTCGGCTCCTCGTGGAATTGAATAGACGCCCTCCCGGCGCCCTCCGAGGAGATGGCCCAGCCCCTCGCCGGCGGGGCCCCCGGCGCGAGCGGCGGCGAGCCGCCGCGGCGGGAGGCGGGCGCGGCCAAGGCCCCGCGGCGCGCTCGAGGGGCGGGGGCGCGACGTTGGTCGTTGCGCCAGGAGTGCCCCGGGCGCAGGGCTCGGCATCCCCGGAGCCCCTCGAGGCGCGAAGAGATCACGACGAGGGCGGGTTTTCGCCATGTTCGGGCCCGCTGGGGGCCCTCACCGGGCCTCGGGGCCGTCAAACTCCTCCTCCTCCTCCTCCTCCTCCTCCTCCTCCTCCTCCTCCTCCTCCTCCTCCTCCTCCTCCTCCTCGCACAGGTCGATGTCCCGGGGAATGGGTCCAGACTTTCGGGGGTCGCGTCATGAAAAAATCATGACGTCGGGGGTTTGGGTCCCGCACAGGGTGTGTTTGTGTGTGTGTGTGCCCCAGGCCCTGGCTGCTGCTGCCCCCCAGCTGCTCATCGTCGAACTCTGCGGCGTCTGAGCGTCCTTCTTCCTCTCGGCCGCCGAACCCCCTCCCTCTCGTTGCCCGCCAGCCAATTCGCTGGTTAGTGCCCCTATCTAGCTTTTTGCTGGAGCGGAGTTCGCCGCCTCGCCTCTGACGAAAAAAGTTTGTGCCCCGGGGTGCGTGTGAGTCCGATCGGTGTTTGCACCGATCCCACCCAGAGCAGATGTCATCCTGGCCGCAGGCAGCTCCCGATGGTTGCCGACGGGCGGGGCTGGGGCGTGTGCGGGGGGCACCCACTTGCGGCAGTTCGGGGCACCAGCGGGTCGAGCTCAAGCTCCCCCTCAGGGTCCCCTCCCCTTCTGGATGCCGAAGGGTGCCCTGAGGATTTCGAAGGAGGCCCCCACACCGAGGAGGAGAATGTACCCATACTGCTAACCCTCCTTTGTTTTCTTGCTATTTTGGGGCCCCCTGGGAGGCCCTCGTCGCCACCGCCGGATTCGCGTGAGATTCTGGTCAGCAAGCACCCTTGGAGAGGGCCGGGGAGCAGCGGCACGGGCGCCCTGTTGGTTTCCCCACCCCCACGGCCTCCAGAGCACCCTTCACGAGGCACGGAGTCGGAGGCGACGATGAGGGCGAGTAGCCCAGGGGCGGGCATGACACGCATCCGTCCGGGAGCCTCGCCGAAGGCATGGGCAGTCGGCGCCCCTGTCGTCGCCTTCGACAGGGGGCCTCCTAGAAGGGGTCGGAGTGGACGGGGTCGGAGGATCGCACCGCATCGTCAATTCATCGCCGAGGCGGCCCGATGTGGCGCCCGCCTTTCCCTACGCCGGCGGCGCTGGTGCCTCGTCGATGCATCGCCGATGCGTCGGGGACTCATTGCCGATGAATCGGCGATGCGGCGCGATCCTGCGACACCTTCTACTAGGACCCCCTCTAGGATTTAGGAGGCTTCCAATCTTGAGCCAGGGGCCCCCGAGCGAGGAGGGGGGGTGCGGCCTCCCCCGGGGGGGCCGGGGCGACGAGGGGGCAGCGGGGCAGCGGGAGGAGAAGGAGACGCCGCGATGCGGTAGCACCCCGGCAGCTTCGAGCCGGCCAGGAGGAGGAGGGCCAGCGGGGGATGAGGAGGAGGAGGAGGAGGAGGAGGAGGAGGAGGAGGAGGAGGAGGACCAGTGGAACCCCAAGAGTCGTCAACGATGTTGAGATACACCATCCCTCGAAGCTCCATCTTCACAGGCTCCATCGTTACAAATATTCACGTTCTCTCAGAGACGTGCCCCGTTGGGAGACAACTGTGCGAACATCCAGAATCGTGCCAACACACAACTCTTAGGACTTCAACGCCACGAGTCAACCTGTTTGTTGCGTCTTGACGATCCTGAGTTTTACCAGAACACCATTCCTGGGTTTTAACACCGCGAATCAACATCGCTGTTGCGCCCTGACAGTCCTGAACCGTTTTAATATACAATTTCTGGAAGGTTAGCCAGGATGTGTGCGGCGCTGATGCGTGAGCCACATTTTAGAAAGGAGCCGCCCTCAATATGTGAAGCTCTTGCAGCTGTGTAAATCGGATGCTCGCGGCGGTAATGCGAGAGCCACATCTTGAAAGCGGCCTGCCCTCCTTCAGTAAAACACTTGCGAATTCTTAATACCAGTGTGCGCGGCGCTGAGGCGAGAGCCACATTTTGAAAACGACCCGCCATCAATCCGCGAAGGTCTTGCAAGTTTTTGTTAAGACGAATGCGTGTGGCGCTAAGTTGAGAGCCACATGTTGAAAACGACCCGTCCTCAATCCGTGAAGCTCTTGCAAATAGTTAAAAGGAATACGCGGCGCCAAGGCGAGTGCCACATTTAGGAAGCGACCCGTCCTCCATTGGTGAAGCTGTCGCCAGCTACTAAGCTTCAGGCTCGTAAATGGCAAGGAAGTCTCAGGCGAAACGCCCGGCCCGCCCTTCCAAGTGGCCTCGGGGTGCGACAGGAATAAGGTATTCATCCGACAGGAGTGGAGGATTAGGGGGAGGAGGAGGAGAAGGAGGAGGAGGAAGGGAGGAGGAGGAGGAGGAGAGGGTTGGTCGGGGAACATCGAGAAGACACCTGTGGAACCCGCCTTCTCCACCAACCCGATGTTCGGGTCCTCGGATTGGCTCTGGTGTGGTCTGGTAGGTAGTCCTTCCGCGCCGCACGCCAGGGGTGGTCCCAGCAGCGGGTGAGCGTGGAGCGGCGCGTCCACGGCGCGGGGAGCGGCGGGGCCGCCGGGGCGGAGGCGGAGGAGGCCGTGGAGCTGGTGCTCCTGGTGACGAGGCTCACGATGGTCACGTGCCTGCTCCTAGCCGGCCTGAAGGCTCGAGGGCAGGAGCTCCGAAGACGTCCCTCAAGCAGTGGCGAGGCGTCCTGGCGTGGTGATCGTTGTTTTATTAATTGTTTTGCAGATCAGCGCGGGCTCTCGCCCCCCCCCTCCCCCCCCACATGGAGTGGATCTTGGCTGTTTTTTGGCGCCTGTTTCGAGCGGGTAGAGCCTCCCCCATAGGACGCACGGATCCAAACAGCTGCACTAAGCAGAGATCCGGAGCCAGACCCAATTCCCTCCCCCCGCCTTCCGCCCAATGTCGAAATGCCGAATACAAAACATGCTCACTTGCCTATAAAGGCCCACAACAGACTGTTCTAAGAGCCTCTTCTGGTTCGCACGGGATGTCCTTGAACAGAGTTTGCCTATACCCAACCTCTCGCAGAGGGGGGTGGGGGGAGGGGGGGGCTTCTCCGAAGCATCCCTGCTTTTTGGAAGGCGCGGGCCTGATCCATAGATGTAAGGCCGGCGCCTTCTAAGAAACAGCCTCCTTCTAAGAAGCCTTCTTCCCTCCCCACATCCCCTTTGTGCGCGCCGCCAATATACTGGCCCACCACAGACTGTTCCAAGAGCCTCTTGTGCCTCGCACGGAGTGTCCTTGAGTAGAGCATGTCCGGCTGGGGCTGTCTTGTTTTATCACATCGGCTTCATGTTCTAAAGTTTTGTGATTCGAGCATTGTCGGGTTCTGAGAACCTGTCGTGGTAGGCCTGTAGGAATGCTGGGGCGGTCGGTCCCTGCTCGAGTCTCTCTCTCTCTCTCTCTCCGCTCTCCAGAGGCACGCTTCGGGCTTCCGGCCTCCAGGGGTCCGCTTCGGGCCTCGGTCTGAGCCAGGCATGTCCCTCTGCGGGGATAATGCTTCAGAAGAGTAAAAAGGTGATCTGTTGACGAGTTTACGTGTTTCTCCTGATGATTGATGATTCTTGCATTTTTCATTTTGTTTTCCAAGATCCGCCCGTAGGAGGACATGCCCGACCTAAGCCCTGGTCGACTAGACGTAAGAGCGACCTTTCGCTGGAGTGGCCTTTGGTGCGGGCCCTGTGGCGTCCCCCCGATCGTTGAGCGCGAAGCGGCAGCAGCGGCTTGCGCGCCCAGGTTTGGCCGCCCCGCGTCCCCCGTTGCGCCGCGCACCAAGGGTCACTTTCTGCTAGGGTCACTCTCGCGTGTAGCCGATCTTGGGCCGTCAAAGAGACGGCGCTTCACTTCAGACTCCGGCAAGTTCACTTCCGCGACATCCCCCCCTCCCCTCCGACACCTTTGAAACTGCGCTGGGCCGAGAAGGCGCGCAGGTCGGACGGGGTCAGGACGAGGATAGATCCGTTCCAAAACATTCCGGTTCGCTCTCGAAACGTCCCGGAACGCTCTGAGAAGGCCGCGGCGCCCGAGAAGTCCTCCAGAGCCGCCGGACCCCAGAGGCTCCCGATTGATCCTCGCCCGATGTTACCGATGTAATCTTCGTGCTGGTTTCGGCTGCTTTTCAGACTGCGCTGGGCCGAGAAGGCACGCACGCGAGGCCCCCGAGTTCGTGCCGGGCCTCGCCACGCCCGGCCTCGCCACGCCCGGCCGCCCCCGAGAGGCGAGCACGCGTGCCCCGGCGTACGTGAAGGCCAGATGTCCTCTCGGGCCTCGCCACGCTTTTCCCCCGTTCAGAGGAAGAATCGGGGGTGGACAGAACCCCCAACAGTGACACGTCGATTAGTGAATTGTCTGTTTTCGGTTCTCGAGGTGGCGCCGTAGCCGTGATTTTCCAGGCTTGCGCCCGCCAGGTTTGGGCCCGACGTCGTTTTCACTGAACCACGTTTTACTAAAGGTGGGTCTGTCCATCCCCGGAAGAAGAGGTACCCATTAACGCTACCCTTCGCTCGTTTTCCCTCCGTTTGGGCCTCCTGGGAGGTCAGCGTCGCAACCGCTGCGCTCGCCCCGAAATCCTGGTCAGAACGCACACTGGAGGGAAGTCTGGGGAGTAGCGGTGTCGGTACCTCTGGGTTTCCCCATCCACGCCTCCCCCCTTGGTCGCCAAGGGACGGCGGAGCAGGACAGGCATCGAGAGTAGCCTTTCCTCGACCGCTCTCCTAGGGGCGCCTCCAGAGTCGTGCCTGGCACTCCGGAGACTCCAAGCGCCTACAGTGGAAACTCATGTCAAGAAACACTCTGCTTGCCTCCAGGGTTCCCAGGGATTCTTGGGTTTCGATGGTCTTGCTATGGAAAGCGTGACCTTCCCACACCAAAAATCAATGGGCGTCCTGGGATTTTTGTGGAAGGTTTCTTGTAATCGAGCTCTCACTGTAGTAAGGATGAGCGGCTTTCCAAGGTTGCCCTTGCATCCTTTCCCTTCGGTCCATCCTTGGTCACTCTCGTTGGCCGACCCCCGCTCGAAGAGTATCGGCATGGCTTTCCAATGCCCTTTTCATCCTTGTCGTGCGTCGTTGCTATGAGTTTTGTTGACTGTACGTATCTGGCGCTCTCAAGGTGGCGGTGTATCTGCTGACTGGCCTCTCCGTTGTGAAGACGTCCGCTATCGACTCCGTAGGCCCGGTTGCAGCTCCTGGGAGGTTCAGCATTTAGCATCGGCGCGGGTCTATCCCTGACCAGATCCCGCCTAATTTGGTTGAATCCCGCTCATTCTGGCTTGATCCTGGGCTGAATCTGGCTTATTAGCCTGCACGTGTTTCCACAGAGACCTCCCCAGAGTCGCCTCCTGGTGTAGGGGACCTGCTGGTGACTCCCGTGACCATGTACACATCGTGGAAGATGAGCCGGGCCGACCCCGTCGCCTACCCTGTGGGGCCTCGCACCATGTCGGTCTTGGGTGCGCTCGTGCTCTCCTCTGTCATGGCAGCGGCCATGTTCTACAACGGCGTGAGCAACCTCGCGGAAGTGTTCGTGGATCAGGAAACCAGCAACGAGAAGGCAGTCAGGGCTTTCTGGGCCTCGATCTTTGGTGCGCCGTGCTCCATGCAGGAGAGCCATGCGTGGGAAGAGCTGAGGGACGGCGTCCGCCACATGGCGCACGCCGGCAAGTTCGACATGGGGGATCTCTCCGTGCTCATGCGTACCGTCGCGGTCGCTCCCGACTTTGCCTCTGCGTGCGAGGATCGAAGACTTGAAGAACAGTCTGCATAAACATCATCTATCGGCTCTCCGCGCAGATCTCTTGGATCTGCGCTGGCTCCCTCCCCCCCCTCCCCCCCCTGGTGGCGCCTGCGGCGTCGCCCGTTGCGCGCTCCGCGCGCCAGGGATCACCAACCGCGTTCCACTACTCGCCAAGTGCCTACTCGCCAACGACCGAAAAGCACTTGCTCGCCTCGACCTCATGGATCGTAGGTCCCCCGCGGCGGATCCAGGCCATTTGCGAGTTGTTACTTCGCGAGTCGTGTGGCGCGCTCGTCGAAGGGAGGGGAGGCCGAGCGCAGATCCAAGAAGTCTGGGCGGACCTCCGAAAGCTCATGCATATGATGTTTTTTGGCTCCGCTGGAGGAGGCCGTAGACGTGGTGCGGGAAGACTGGCAGCGCAAGGCGGAGGAGATCGGGTTGCACAAGGAGGAGGGCAAGGGGGGTCTTGAGCCTTTCGGCCAGGTCCTTCCTCCTCCTCCTCCTCTTCCTCCTCCTCCTCCTCCTCCTCCTCTTGGATCTGGGTCGGGGACTTTGTTCGTGGCTTCCGCTTCCTGTTCCGCGTTCCCCTGGCAGCGCGAGGGCCGTGCGAAGTCGCTCTGCTGCATGCAGTTGGTTCCGGCTTCGCCGGCCGGCCCGTTCCTCGACGCAAAGGGGGGGGGAGCGTAAGACCCGGGTTTGCCAGGACTCGGTTTCGCCATCGTTTTTTGACGACCACGCCTCGGATTTTGACGAGGGGGAGTTTCGTGGGATGTCTGCAGCGGGAGGCCTCGTCAAAATGCAGGCTCGGCCTCGTCATTTTTTTGACGACCTCGTCGGGGATTTCCGAGTCCCCCGTAACCGGGTCTTACGTCTCCCCGAAAAGGGGGGGGGAGGGATTTTCCAGCGCCCGGGGCGCACGGGGAAATTGGTTGTCGGGGCCTACGAGACGGGGATCATCACCACCCACCAAACCACCCCAACCCAACCCGAAGGCTCAGATTTATCCTCGATTTCCAGTGGGAGGGGGGGTCGGGGAACGTTGAAAAAACACATGGTATCCGTACCCCCCCCAACCCGAAATTCGGGTCAAATTCGGGTCTTCGGGTTGGGTTGGGGTGGTCTGGTAGGTAGTCAGATCAGGGCGCTGGATCCTGCAGGATCCTGCGAAGACCCCCTCTGGCTGGCCCGGGTTGGCGAGCCGCTCGTGGCCGCGAGGCGGCCGCGCATATTGGCTGACCCGGGTTTGCGAAGACCTGCGATGCAGTTTGTTTTTCCGGCATTGCAGTTTTTTGGTTTCCTGCTGACCCGGGTCTGGATTGACCCGGGTAAGAAGGTCCCCCAAGGTTGCGAGGCGGGGATTTATCCATACCCTTCGCCTGGGAACCGACGTCCTGGTGCCCCAGCGGGCGGTGGATATGTATACAGTTCGGCCCCCGGGGGCCCGAAGATGTCCACATCCACCGCCTGCCGAGGCTCCGAAAGCTGACCCTCCAGGCGGTGGTCATGTATAAATTCCCGCCTCGGATCGGTTACATGCAGTCGATTTACAAGTTCCCTTGTACTACCGGCTGGGGAAAGGATGGACATGGAGATATGGACTCTCGACAGCCTCGGGAATATGTCTCGCATGCTCGCGTCCCGAAAACAGCCGGACGGTAGGTTTGTTACCGTTTTCGGCCTCTGGGGGCCCTTGACGGGCCCCGGGACTGTCACGAAACAGCCCAGGACGAAAAACCGGTCCAAGGGAAGAGATCGGGATCTTTGGGGACCCCTGGAACAAATCAAGACATCGCATGCCTGGCAGCGACTCCGTTGCCCCGAGAACAAGCGGAAAACAAATGCATGTTGTTGCGCCCCAGCCGCCTGCATCCTGTTGCTGTCCAGCCACAGAACTCGATCGCTCTGGGAGAGGTCGCGGGAGGCCGCAAAAGGGATGGGGTTGCGCACTGGCCCAGAAAAGTCTGCGACCACAATTACAGATAAACTCGCTCGCTTTTGGGACGCCCCCCCCTCCCGCCGCAATGCAGTTCTGATTTTAAGTCGGGCCTGTCCCTCTACAGGAGGAATATTCAAAAATAGCCAAAAGATAGAATGGGTATTATTTTTCGATTATGTTTGAGCATGTTGGGGTTATGTTTTGACTATTTTTTATTTTTCGTCCAAGATCCCCCTGTAGGAGGACGTGCCCGACATGGTTGTAACTGCAGGACCTAATTCTATTTTGTGAAGGTCAGTGGATGGAGCCTCGCTCGGGGCGTTTCGCTGGAGACATCCTCAGAGTTTGCCTGGTTTGGCCCCTGGTCTGGCTGGGTTGAACCTGGTTTGGTTTGGTTTGGTTTGGCCAGGCGCCCCCCCTGAGATGTCCTCAGCATGTGCTTGGTTCGGCCCCTGGCTTGGCCTGGTCTTGGGCCAGTTTCGCTTACAACGTCTTCACACTTTGCTTGGCTTGGTTTGGATTCGGCGCGTTTTCTTTTGAGACGTCCTCACAATTCGCCTGGTTTGGTCCTGTTTCGGCGCGGTTTCGATTGAGACGTCCTCAGAAACTAGTTGGTCTAGGTTAGTTATGATGTGTTTTCGCCCGAAGCATGCTTATGATTCCCATTGTTGTGATGCAAAACCATACCGTCACAAGCTGTGCAGTGCAAGGAATGTGTTGTGAAGCATGTGGTGGCAGCTGTGTTGACCAAGCTATGTTGTGCAAACCCGCATCGTCGCAAGATATACGTGGTGGAAGCTACGTGGGGCGAGCTACATGGTGCAATCCCACGTCGTCGTAAGCTATAAGGTGTAATATATGTGTGATGTAGCGTCCATGGTGGAAGCTGTGCGGTGCAAGCCATGTGGTGCAACCCCACACGTCCTCGCGGCGTTGGCCCAGTGTCTGGTTTTAGGGGGGAACTTCCCCGAGCCCGTAGAAGGTGGCATTGCCGTGCATGTCGGGTCGACGACGGCTTGCAGCAGGCACGGCGCACACAGCGCGCGCATGCCGAGCCGACGCGGGCCAGAAGACGCGATGACAGTTCTGCGCCGCGCGGAGCGCCTCTGGACGGCGGCCCCTCCGTGCCTGCTCCCGGTTGAAGTTCTCCGGCCCCTCGCCTGGTCCGGCGGCGCGCCCGGGGGGGACGCGAGAGGGAGGAGGCCTGCTCAGACGGCGGCGGGACCTCTCGGAAGCCCTCGCGCCCTCGGAGAAGTGTTCGGTGCCTTCGGGGGAGGCTCAGAAAGCTTCCTAGGAGGCCGGGGGACTTCCGAGCCTTCGGAGAAGTTCTCTGTGCCTTCGGGGCAGGCTTAGAAAACTTGTCAGAGGGCCGGGGGACTGCCGAGCCTTCTGAGAAGGCCTTCTCCTTCTCACGTCCCCCCCTCGCTCGCCGCCGATTTCAAGCACATGGCTGCCTGCGGTAGCAAGCCATGGGTGCATGGTATACCCCTGTAATTCCGTCTTTCGAGTGCGTTAGCGTCGGCTAGCGTTTGGCAGTCCACAAGATAGCGCCGATGTAGCGTCGATTAGCATCGGCTAGCGCCGATTAGCGTCGATTTAGCGTCGGTTAGCGTCGATTCGCAACAACAGCCGCTACTATGGGATGCTCCCCTGAGTTGCCGCACATGGCTGCTTTCAGTGAGCCCTTGGCGCCGAGCACATCCGTGCGTCTCGCAGGGTCTCTCCCGAGATCCACAGGGGCCGCCCGCGCTTCTCACGAGGCCCCGAAGAGTGCCGCGGAACTTGTTTGGTATCAGCCACGCCCGCGCTCCTCGCGAGGTCCTGGACTGTCAGCTTGACAGGCTCCCCGAGCGAAAAAGCAGTCTAGCCGTCGGATTCTTGTGATCGTTCTCTCACGCCTTGTTCTGCCGATCGGCGCGGGCCTCCCCATGGAGTAGATCCGGGCTGTTTTCGACGCCTGCTTCAAGCAGGTGGGTCGCATTGACCCGGGGTTGGGTGCAGGATCCTGCAAAATCCTGCAGGATCTTGCAGGAGAGTGGGTATCTAACATGGTTGTCCCGAGTTGGCACCACGTGTTTTAACGTGTGCAGGCCACCTCGAGGGGCATGGTTGTCCCGAGCAAGGACTACGTGTTTTTTACTTCCAGGCCACCCATGGGTGTATCTAACATGGCTGCACAGAGCTGGCACCCACGTTTTTACGTGTCCAGGCCACCCAGGGGTCTGCGCTCCAAGCACAGGGCCGCGACGCGACGCCAGCCTGCCCGCGCGTGCCCGCAAAGTCCGCGCCCGCGGCGCGCCCTCTCGCGCGGACATCTCGGGCGGGCGACCCGCCCTCCCGCGCGCCCGCGCGAGTACGACGAGAGCACGGCGTCGGCGGCGTGCTGCTCGTGCGCCCGGAGGGAAACATGGATGGGATTGTTTTCCACCACAATAAGTTGGAGGGGACAGGGAGGAGGACGAGGAGGAGGAGGAGGACGAGGAGGAGGTGGAGGAGGAGGAGGAGGAGGAGAGGTCCTTGCCGGGTGGGAGGGGCAGGAAAGGTGTGCATGGCTACAGAAGAACCCGGGACCGCCATGAGTGAATGAGTGAGTGAGTGAGTGAGGGAGGGAGTGAGTGAGTGAGTGAGTGAGGAGGAGGAGGAGGAGGAGGAGGGGGGGGGAGGAGGAGGAGGAGGATGGAGGAGGAGGAGGAGGAGGAGGAGGAGGAGGAGGAGGAGGAGGAGGAGGAGGAGGACCCCCTCCCCCTCCAACTTGTGGTGGTGGTGGTGGAAAACAGGCCCATCAACGATAGGGGGGGACAGGCTCCGGGGGGAACGCATCGAGCCCCAATCGCAGATTGATCGCCGACAAGGGGTTGATAGCCCCACCCCGCCCAGGAAAGTGCAGGTTTGCGATCGAGGGCACATCGCCGATCTATCGGCGATGTATCACCGAATCCAGGTCGACGTTTCCTCTGGGCAAGTCCCCCCTATCGTTGCCCCACATACGCACCATGCAACCGCGCAAGCTCGCAAGGAACAGTAACGCAGTAATGGGATCGCCGAGGGAACACAGTACCGCTGGAAGCTTCATGGGGACGCTGCGACGAACCAGGCCGCGATACGAGCGTAGAAGTGGTTTCCAAACATGTGCTCGCGAACTGAGACCCCCGTTTCACACCCCCCCGTGCCGTGAAGCGAAGAGAACATTGCGGAGGGTGTTTGAGCGTTTCCAACGGGGGGCTGCCCTCTCCGGGCCGCGGGGCGATCGGAAAACGATTCAGGATGGAGAGCGTTTCTATGTTCTAGAGGATACATCGCGTTAGGTGATGGGCCTGTTTCCCACCACCACCACCACCATAAGTTGGAGGGGGGGGGAGAAGGTGGAGGAGGAGGAGGAGGAGGATGAGGAGGAGGAGGAGGAGGAGGAGGAGGAAGAGGAGGAGGAGGAGGAGCCCCTGCCCCTCCTGCTTCAGCTGGTGGCGGTGGTGGA